GCTGGGCGTGGTGGCACATGCCTGTAATCCCAGCTACTTGGGAGGCTGAGGCAGGAAAATCGTTTGAACCCAGGAGGTAGAGGTTGCAGTGAGCTGAGATCCCGCCATTGCACTCCAGCCTGGGGGACAAGGGCAAAAGTCCGACTCAAAAAAAAAAAAAAAGTTACTTTTCCCAGGGGTACTTACATTTTAATTAGGATCTATTGAGAAACAGCCTGGAAATTCAAAAGAGGGGGTGTTGGACAAGCTGATCTCTGAGACTCTGCACTCCAATCATTCATTCAAAAACAAACAAACGGGCCGGGCTTGGTGGCTCACACCTGTAATCCCAGCACTTTGGGAGGCCGAGGAGGGTAGATCACCTGAGGTCGGGAGTTCGAGACCAGCCTGACCAACATGGAGAGACCCTGTCTCTACTAAAAATACAAAATTTGCCAGCGCGGTGGCTCATCCCAGCACTCTGGGAGGCTGAGGTGGTTGGATCATGAGGTCAGGAGTTCAAGACCAGCCTGGCCAATATAGTGAAACCTCGCCTCTACTAAAAATACAAAAATGAGCCAGGGATGGTGGCATGCACCTGAAGTCCCAGCTACTCCGGAGGCTGAGGCAGGAGAATCACTTGAAACCGGGAGGCAGAGGTTATGGTGAGCTGAGATCATGCAACAGCACTCCAGCCTGGGCAACAAGAACGAAACTCCATTAAAAAACAAACAGGCCGGGCACGTTGGCTCACGCCTGTAATCCCAGCACTTTGGGAGGCTGAGGCGGGTGGATCACCTGAGGTCGGGAGTTCGAGACCAGCCTGGTCAACATGGTGAAACCCCGTCTCTACTAAAAATACACAAAAGTAGCTGGGTGTGGTGGTGGGCGCCTGTAATCCCAGATACTTGGGAGGCTGAGGCAGGAGAATTGCTTGGACCTGGGAGGTGGAGGTTGCAGTGAGCCGAGATCACGCCACTGCACTCCAGCCTGGGTGACAGAGTGAGACTCCATCTCAACAAACAAACAAACACACAAAATAGCCGGGCATGGTGGCCCGAGCCTGTAATCCCTGCTATTTGGGAGGCTGAGGCATGAGAATCGCTTGAACCCGGGAGGCAGAGGATGCAGTGAGCTGAGCTCACACCACTGCACTCCAGCCTGGGCAACAGAGTGAGATTCTGTCTCAAAAAAAAAAAAAAAAAAAAAAAAGCAAAAAACGCCGTGCATGGTGGCACATGCCTGTAATTCCAGCTACTCAGCAGGCTGTGGCAGGATAATCGCTTGAACCCAGGAGGTAGAGGTTGCAGTAAGCCGAGATCGCGCCATTGCACTCCAGCCTGGGCAACAAGAGCGAAACTCTGTCTTAAAAAAGAAAGAAAAAGAAAAAGAAAAATTAGCCAGGCACGGTGGTGTGCACCTGTAATCCCAGCTGAGGATTAAGCATGAGAACTGCTTGATCCCAGGAGATGGAGGTTGCAGTGAGCCGAGATCATGCCACTGCACTCCAGCCTGGGCGACAGAGCAAGACTCCATCTCAAACAAAACAAAACAAAACAAAACAAAACAAAACAAAACAAAACAAAACAAAACACAAGCCCAGCGAAGCAATGCAAGCCTGTGGTCCCAGCTACTCAGGAAGCTGAGGCATAAGGATCCCTTGAGCCCTCATGATGGCGCCTGTGAATAGTTACTGCATTCTAGCCTGGGCAACATAGCAAGACCTATTTCTAAAACAAAAATTTAAACATTCTAGGCAGTATGCCCAGTGGTGAATAAGATGGGGTCTGTGCCCTCATGGACTATGTATTGGTTTAGATTAAATTTTTACCTCGAGTTAACATTTGCGATTCAATACAAGTGATGAAGTTTGGGGGCCTTTGAGGGACCTGGGGATAAACTGGTTTTTATTTATTTATTTATTTATTTATTTTTTTGAGACCGAGTCTTGCTCTGTTGCCCAGGCTGGAGTGCAGTGGCATGATCTTGGCTCACCGCAAGCTCCACCTCCCGGGTTCATGCCATTCTCCTGCCTCAGCCTCCCAAGTAGCTGGGACTACAGGTGCCCGCCACCACACCCAGCTAATTTTTTGTATTTTTAGTAGAGACGGGGTTTCACCGTGTTAGCCAGGATGGTCTCAATCTCCTGACCTCATGATCCACCCGCCTCGGCCTCCCGAAGTGCTGGGATTACAGGCTTGAGCCACTGCGGCTGGCCCGATAAAAGTTTGTTTTTGACCAGAAATACTTGCCAGAGGCCCCTCAACTCACTTAGCCATAGCATCTGCTTTCTTGGCTTACTTCTAAGACTGGCTGTGCATATGTAGAAGGAAAAAGAACATTAAAAAAAGTTTTGCGATTCTGAGGCAGAGTAGTTTAATAGAGTGTGGAGTTAGGAGGCTGAAGAACTAAACTGTACACAAGGTCCAGTATGAATTTTGTGACTATGAACAAGTAACTTCATATCCTTCTATGTCAGGGAAGACTGAGTTGTGTAGTGGAAAGAAAGGGGCTTTGGACAGAGTTTACTGTGTATTCATCCATTCATTTAAAAAACAAAAAACAAACATTTATTACATTCTAGGCAGTACGCCAGGTTCCAGGGAGACAGTGATCTGCCCTCAGTGAGTACTATTTATTGATTTTGAGCAAATTTTCACCTTGAGTTTACTTTCCCATGTGTAAAAGGGATGAAAATAACACCTATTCCATATTTCCTAAGAATCACTGTTGTAGTGATCCATAGTTCTAGCAGGAGATTTGAATTCCTTGAGTATGCTGACTGGAAAAAAAAAAAATGAAAACTGCGTATTAGTTCAAGTTCTTCATTTGTAGGTGACAGAACAGGGCTCAGAAAATTAACCGACCATTCTAGTTCCTTTTTTACTTCTCACATGCAATGGAGCTTCCCTGAAGATTCTTTTGCAACTTTTGGGGCCTCTCCTTCCCCTCCTCCCTGGCCTGGGTGCTCCAGCCTACCCAGATGCAGTGTTCCAGAGCCCACTGTGGATGCATTCATTTTGCTGAGTTCTTCCTTGGCAGTCCACGAGTGCCATCTCTTGTCTTGAAATCCAACCATCCAGTAACTCCCAAGTGTCACCTCTTCCATAAAGTCATAACCCCTCGACTTGAAGAGGCCATTCTCTCTGGGAATCTAAGAATGCTTTGTACCTTGGCTTATTATAATGATCCTTAATCTGTGGAAGTTTCATCCCACCCTAGATCGTAAATTGTATCCTCTTGCCTATTTCATGCCAGTGGTGCATTGAGTAATGTCTTGTAACAGAGCTGACTGAATTCCTGAATGAGTTGAATGGCAACACAATAGCAATAACACCCGGGCAGTCTACCATGGGTGGTTCTATTACTACCTGTGTAGTCATAAAACAAGGCAATAAATATGAAGCAATTATGTCAATGTTGTTGTTTTGTTTTGAGACAGGTTTCACTCTGTTGTCCAGGTTGGAGTTCAGTGGCATGATCACAGCTCACTGCAGCCTTGACCTCTTTGGGCTTGGTGATCTTCCCACTTCAGCCTCCCTAGTAGCTGGGACTACAGGTGCACGCCACCATGGCTGTCTAATTTTTGTATTGTTTTTGTAGAGATGGGGTTTCACTATGTTGCCCAGGCTGATCTTGAACTTCTAGGCTCAAGCAATCCTCCTGTCTTGGCCTCGCAAAGTGCTGGGATTACAGGCATGTGCCACCATGCCCCTAAAGGGGACACATCAAGGGAGGTGAGTAGATGGAAAGCAGTTTGATTTGAAATAGCTGGGGAAATGATTATTACTTTTTTCCTTTTTTTGCCGGGAGACTCCCGGTGTTGGTGGATATAATCACTGTTTTCAATTTTTTGAAGAGCTGTCAAGTGGAAGACATTCTGTATTGCCCCAGGCAGCATAACTACCAGCAATGGAAGGAAATAAAGGGAAACAGATTTCAGCTCAGCAGGAGGCAGAACTTTCTAACATTTAGAGCTGTCCAACAGTGGAGCAGGCTGCATTACTTGAGGGAGTGAGCTCCCTGAAATTTGAACTGTTGAACAAGATGACCATCTGGCTGAATGTACAAGAGGGAATTCCTGCCTGGGCGGCAGTTGCACTAGTGACCTTTAAGGAGGTATCTTCCAATTCTAAGGTTTCTAGACTGTTTAACTCAGCTAACTTGACCTCTGAGTTATGCTGTTAAAAAAATTATTAGACAGCTCATCTATTGACTTACTTTAAATAACTGCATGGTCAAGTTTACGATAAGATTTTAGAAACTGAGAAGTGGGAAAGCAGGTTTAATACTTAAAATCCAGATACCATCCAAACCAATTAATTAATGGCACTTTGAACAAAAGGGAAGGGAGGGGCCGGGAGCGGTGGCTCACGCCTGTAATCCCAGCACTTTGGGAGGGTGAGGTGGGTGGATCACGAGGTCAGGAGATGGAGACCATCCTCGCTAACACGGTGAAACCCAGTCTCTACTAAAAATCAAAAAATTAGCTGGGCGTGGTGGCGGGTGCCTGTAGTCCCAGAGACTCGGGAGACTGAGGCAGGAGAATGGCGTGAACCCGGGAGGCGGAGCTTGCAGTGAGCCGAGATCGCACCACTGCACTCCAGCCTGGGCGACAGAGCGAGACTCCGTCTCTAAAAAAAAAAAAAAAAGGAAGGGAGGTTTGTGAGTGGTGTGTGCGTGTGTGTGAGAGAGAAAGAGAGAGAGACGAGAGAAAGAGAGAGTCATTCTTTCGAATAATGTGTCCTGGGCAACTGAGCGTTGTCACAGAAAGCATAAAACGCTCTACAGTTTTGCTTTACACATACTTGCTCAGTCGGATTCTTCACTTCCAGCATTACTGCAGGCGGAAACCAGGGCTCAGGCCTGGTAAACAACCTTCCGGAAGACGATTCTGGACCCGGACACCCACTACCGCCTCAGCGGGCAGCTGACTTAGGGCTGCCTAAGGAGGAAGTGGGAGCCCCCGGCCTCCCGGGCGGAACTACCGCTCCCAGGGGCGCCCGCGGCGCCGCGCACGCGCGCTGGCGTGGCGGCAGCGCCGCTGCAGGACGCAGGGAAGCCAACAGGCGAGTGGCGAAGGTGGCGGCAGCGGCGGCGGGGGCAGTCACCGGCGAGGGCGACGGCTCCGAGGCCGAGTGGCGGTCCGGCAGAGTCCTCCGTGTCTTCATCCGCATGAGCCCCTTGGTGAGCGCGCGTCCCGATTTAGCCGGCGCGCGGTGCGCCGCTCCCTGCCTCGCGGCCGGCTTGCTCCGGCCTAGGGCCGCAGCCTGCCTCTGACGGCCGGGCCGTCCGGTCCAACTGACCCCGGGGTCCCGGGACCTTCCCGTCAGTGTCGGGCGAGGTGGGGGTTGGGGGACACTGGGTTAGGCCCAGGGGAGAAATGTGGCGGCGCGCAGGAGCCAGGGCGGCCTGGGGCTAAGGAGAGGGAGAGGCGCGTGGGGGATGGGATGGGAAGGGACTGGGGGACCGCCGAGCGGTCTCGGGTGGGGGCCAGAGACTAGAGGCCTGGCAGGTAGGGAACTGAGTACAGGAGGCGAGAACGAAATGGAATGTCTTTTGAGTGTCGCTGATAAAGATGTCGTGCTGCGGGGAAGCTTGACAAGCTGGACACACGGGTCTAGGGGCAGCCCACCTACCACAGACACTCACCATACTTGGCATCTTTCCTCTTGCTGTCGGAGGTCTGAAAGTGAGGTAGCTGTTGGTTATTTCCATCCCTTTCAACTTCACCTTTTATTGACTGGCAAAATTGTAATGGGTGCTGGCTAGGTAAACCACAGAAGTACACACAGGGTTCTGTGTATAAATGTGCATAAAAACAGGGAGACATAGTGATAGGTTCAGATGTGAACTAGGTCAAAGGAGGAATCAGTGTTTTTATTTTTAAATTTATGACGAAAATAAGTTCTGAGCAGGACTTTGAACTAGAGAGGGGTTTTAAACTGGAGTTCATTGACGGATAGAATTAGAAGGGTCCTTTCACTAGGATGATAAAATGACATCATTATTTTTATTGACTGCTATCTGAAACTTATTATTTCCTTCAGTTGTGAATGTGGACAACAAGCCAGAGTAGAATTAGCAACGCTTATGACTTTGTCATCAATAAAAATTACGGATATTTTTGTATCATATTTACAGTTGCAGACAGCTCAGAATATCATTTATGGTTATCACTTCTTTGAATTTCTGGTGTTACTAGACCCGCCGTTAAGACCTTGTTATTTAATGTGATAATAAGGCTGTACATATATTATTACCATATTAGTTTGTTAAGTTGTGTTGCTAATATTTCTGTATAATTGGCTTCCCTTGCAATCACATGTATTTAATCATGCATTTAAAAGAAATCTGAGAACGGGACCATAGGCTTCACCAGACTGCCAATGAGGTCCATGCACAAAAAGATTAAGAACTCCTGAAATACTATAGGGGGCTGAGGCGGGCGGATCACTGAGGTCAAGAGATGGAGACCATCCTGGCCAACATGGTGAAACCCATCTCTACTAAAAATACAAAAATTAGTTGGGTGTGGTGGCCTGTGCCTGTAGTCCCAGCTACTCGGGAGGCTGAGGCAAGAGAATCGCTTGAGCCTGGTAGGTGGAGGTTGCAGTGAGCCGAGATCACGCCACTGCACTCCAGCCTGTCGACAGAGTGAGACTCCGTCTCAAAAAACAACAACAAAAAAAACCCTCCTGAAATAGAAGTAAGTTTTTTTGAATCTATAAGTCTACTTAGAAGAACATCTGAGTCATTAAAGTCAGACAGGATGACAGTGTAGACGAAAGAGAATTTCATAATCAGGGAGATAAAAGATTTGGATGGGATCAGAGTAGCCTTTTTTTTTTTTGGTTTTGAGATGGAGTCTGGCTCTGTTGCCCAGGCTGGAGTGCAGTGGCGTGATCTCCGCTCACTGCAACCTCAGCCTCCCGGGTTCAAGTGATTCTCGTGCCTCAGCTTCCTGAGTAGCTGGGACTACAGGCACCCACCACCACGCCCAGATAATTTTTATATTTTTAGTAGAGGCAAAGTTTCACCATGTTGGTAAGGCTGGTCTCAAAGTCCTGACCTCAGGTGATCTGCCTGCCTCGGACTCCCAGAGTGCTGGGATTACTGATGTGAGCCGCCGCATCCTGCCCAGAGTAGTCATTTTGAAAGAACAGACCATAAATGTTTCATTCAGGGTAATGGGGAGTGAACAAAATAATTGGAAGAAGAAAGGGAAGTGAATATGTTGGCCTTTAATTTTTGTATTAAGGCACCTCCCCAGTTCCAAGTGATTGCAGCTCTGTAAGCTCTGATGTTCTGATGTAACCCTGTGAAAAGAAATTTTACTGTTTGCTGGTTTTCTTTAAATCATGGAGGTGGAATTTTGTTTTTTTGGGACGGAGTTTCACTCTTGTTGGCCAGGCTGGAGTGCAATGATGTGATCTCGGCTCACTGCAACCTCTGCCTCCTGGGTTCAAGCAATTCTCATGCTTCAGCCTCCTGAGTAGCTGGGATTACAGGAGCGCGCCACCACGCCCAGCTAATTTTTGTATTTTTAGTAGAGACGGGGTTTTGCCATGTTGACCAGTCTGGTCTCAAACTCCTGACTTTGTGATCTGCTCACCTCGGCCTCCCAAAGTGCTGGGATTACGGGCGTGAGCCACCGTGCCTGGCCCTAATTTTTCTATCTTTAAATGAAAAACAGGAGAATCTCTCTTGAAATATATTTTTTGGGCCAGGCATGGTGCTCATGCCTGTAATCCCAGCACTTTGGGAAGCCGAGGTGGGTGGATCACCTGAGGTCAGGAGTTCGAGACCAGTCTGGCCAACATGGTGAAACCCTGTCTCTACTAAAAATACAAAAATTATCTGAACGTAGTGGCGGGCACCTGTAATCCCAGCTACTTAGGAGGCCGAGGCAGGAGAATTGCTTGAACCCAGGTGGCGGATGTTGCAGTGAGCCGAGATTGTGCCATTGCACCCCGGCCTGGGCTACAAGAGCAAAACTCCATATCAAAAAAAAAAAAAAAAAAAAAAGTGTGGGTGTGGTGGCTCATGCCTGTAATCATCCCAGCACTTTGGGAGGCCAAGGTGGGTGGATCACGAAGTCAGGAGTTCAAAACCAACCTGGCCAAGATGGTGAAACCCCATCTCTACTAAAACTACAAAAATTAGCCAGGTGCCTTGATGGGTGCCTGTAATCCTAGCTAGTTTGGAGGCTGAGGCGGGAGAATCGCTTGAACCTGGGTGGCAGAGGTTGCAGTGAGCCGACGTCGTGCCCCTGGGAGACAGAGTAAGACTCTGCCTCAAAAAGAAAAAAAAAAACGAAAAACAAAAACAAAAAACCCCAAAGCCATTTTACTCTTGCTATTAACTTTCTTTTCATATGTGATAGAAAGTAAACATACTATAGAGTTGAAAAGTTGGTAAGTCATTTTCTTGAAATTCGTTTTCAAATTCTTATTTGCTTCATTTTGGCATTTGCCTTCTCACTGACAAATCTCTTTTTTTTTTTTTTTTTTTTTTTTGAGACGGAGTCTCACGCTGTTGCCCAGGCTGGAGTGCAGTGGCGCGATCTCGGCTCACTGCAAGCTCCGCCTCCCGGGTTCCCGCCATTCTCCTGCCTCAGCCTCCTGAGTAGCTGGGACTACAGGCGCCCACCACCGCGCCCGGCTAATTTTTTGTATTTTTAGTAGAGACGGGGTTTCACTGTGGTCTCGATCTCCTGACCTTGTGATCCGCCCGCCTCGGCCTCCCAAAGTGCTGGGATTACAGGCTTGAGCCACCGCGCCCGGCCCAAATCTCTCTTAACATTTTCTTCAGACTGTGTGTGGCTTGAAATTTTTACCTGTTTGTAAACAACCTGTCAACATCTTGTAGGAGATTTTTTTTCCCCTCTAAAATAATAGCAATAATAGAAAACCACTACAGTACCCTTTTTCTGGATAAAATGAAGGGGGAGTATGAAAAGGTGGATAAAACTTTTTATGAAGCAGATAATTGGTACTGGAACAGTTTATGTTGAGTTGAACACACCATATTGCAAGTCACTGCCTTGAAGAGATCTTCCCTGTCACTTTCTGCGTCCTTACATCACTCTCTTTGTCATTCTTTGTCCTCTTCCCCTTTATTTTCTTTATAGCGTGCTGCTATCTCTTATTATGTCGCTTGTACGTATATTTATAGAGTATTTTAATCTTTTTCTTTTCTTCCTTGAATGTTAGCTTCATGACAATAGAGACTTTGTCTTCACTGCTGTTCCAGAATAGTGGATGGCACACAATAGGTGCTAAGTAAATACTTGCTGATTAAATAAATGAATGGATGAGTTTATAGAAGCTAAGTATTTTATTTCTAAGAATAAAGCACATCCATTTAAAATCTTGCAAATCGTATTATACATACTGGGTTGAATTTCATCTTATGTTTTTCATCTTACTTTTTTTTTTTTTTTGAGATGGAGTCTTGCTCTGTCACCCAGGCTGGAGTGCAGTGGCACGATCTCAGCTTACTGCAACCTCTGCCTCCTGGGTTCAAGTGATTCTCCTGCCTCAGCCTCCCCGGTAGCTGGGACTACAGGTGCCTGCCACCATACCTGGCTAATTTTTGCATTTTTAGTAGGAAGCAGGTTTCACCATGTTGGTCAGGCTGGCTTTGAACTTCCTGACCTCAAGTGATCCACCTGCCTCAGCCCCCCAAAGTGCTGGGATTACAGGAGTGAGCCACCATGCCTGGCCATCTAACATTTTTTTAAATACAGAAAATTATTTCCCAGCACTATGTTGTGCGTTTGTGAGCGTTTGGTTTCATTTGGGGACTAATCATTCTTGGTACATGCTGCCATGTAGGTTTGATTATTCTTCACTTTGTATGATGTAATAAAAGGGAGAATCTGTAGGTGAAGTTCTTGTTTTGCTTAGGTTCTTTTACCTTTTACTGTGTGATCCTAGATTGTTTTATTTCTCCTCATTCTTCTTCCTTCTTTCTTCCTTCCTTTTTTTTTTTTTTTTTTGAAACAAGGTCTTGCTGCATTGCTTAGGCTGGACTTGAACTCCTGGACTCAAGTGATCGTCCTGCCTCAGCCTTACCAAGTAGCTAGGACTATAGGTAGGCACCATCACGCCTGGCATTGTTTCTTTTTGTTTTCTTTTTTTTTTTTGAGAGGGAGTCTCACTTTGTCTCCCAGGCTGGAGTGC